CACAAGGTAGCCTAGGCACAGGCTCTGGATGGGTGCAGCAGGAAGGTGGGGAGAGGAGGACACACAGCTGGGTGCTGCTCTATATGCTGCTAGGCTGCATTCCTGCAGGGTTATCATATTTCCAGCTTTGAAAAAAAGGATACCTGTGCGGGGTGTAATATAATTGTAGTGGGGGGCAGTGATATGCCCATGCCCTACCCCTGCCCCTCACTCCCAAGCCACAGCACCCCCCAGCCCTGCTGCTGTCTCTCACTCCTGACTCAACAGTACCCGGCATCCTGCCAGGGCATGTGGGGGTTCCCCCTCCCTGGGCTCCAAACCCCACACACAGACCCACAGCCCCCCACACCTTCCCAAATTCCCTCCCACACACCCAGTCCCCAACCATACAAAATACCTACATAATTTTGTATCATTTTGAGTTTTTCTGCACATAATTTAAAGTTTTTTGCTGTGTGATTAAAATCGTGATTAATTGCGACTAATTTTTTTAATCACGCAACTAATCACGATTACACTGTTTAATTGGTTGACAGCCTTATTTCCACTAGACTTGGTAGTGGCTGCTGAGAGAGAGAGACAGACTGTTTCTTATGTTTTGATGGGTTTTTTCTTTAATCATTTTTTAAATGTGGGTGCAGAAGCTGTCATCTTACTCTCAAAAAAAAGTTTACCTTGGAGTCCTCTATAGCAAAAAACATATTAGTAGCCAAAAAATGCAAGATTGGACTTTCCTTTAAGAATCTCTCTTATTAGATGACACAAGAGGATTATATAGTCTGGTATTTACATCAGACATATGTCAGAAAGGCTTTGGTTTCTTTTCAGTGAGCATGTCATTAGATTACATTTTAATAGTAGACTTGATGACTGTGATTCAAATACTGAATTAGATAGAAACTCTTAATATATATTAAAAAAATAAGAGATTTGCATATTGATAAAGTGTTAGCTGCTGGTGGAAAGTTTATTGTCTAATCGAGTAGTCTTTTAAGGTTGTGCACATGATAGTTTAGTTCTGACTTTGGGGTTACTGTTACTTTACACTAGCAACTAAAAGCAAAAACATCCTAACATTGTTTTTGTCTGACTGGAAAACCAGTAGTAACTTTGCAACAAAAGCTGTTGTTCATAAATAGTCAAGTATCACCTGATGGAGTTGCTGCGTAAGTGTAAATGTTTGGGGATTTTGTTTTTCAGAAGACTAACATGTGAGTAGTACTGTTAATCAGATAAATTTTGTGATAGTAATGTGCCAGGAAGGGTAGAAAGTCTTATAAGTGGTGTGAAATTTCCATTTGATGAAAGAGCCTTACTCTCAAAGGCTACATGAATGCCAGGAATGAGTCTTCAGTAATTAGTATTCAGTCAAAGTTGTTAGGGCTCAGAGCAAAAGATGACCTATTTTTAATAATTTCAGATAGGCTAGTAACAAAGAGATTCCTCAACTGAAACAGAGAAAAACAACTGACAAGCAACAGGTACGATCGGAATCCTTAATTATAGTTTTTGTAGGCTGTACATTTAGTACAATAATTCACAAATGTTGAGTTGCCAGACTTTCTAACATAAAACTTAAAGTCCCTGACTTAGCATGACATCTTCCATATATTGGTATGTGAGTTGTTCTTATGTTACATACCATAAACATATAGTGACCGTAAATTCATTTAAATCCATTAAAATATATTCATTAGAAAGAGAAATGGTCTCTCAAACGTACGAGTGCAGTGAGATCCACCAAAACTACTGGATTCTGATGTTATAAGTCATTTCTTTTTAGGATATTTGTCTTTATTCTAGTCAATAGCCAGTCTTGCTGTGGCCAACAGTTAATACTGGCATATAACTGCAAATCCTCAAACTGTTGAAAGTATATTTCATTGAAATTTTTTTGTGTTGTTTTTATTTTGGTCAAAACTGGAGTTGTTGAAGCATGCACAATACTGATGCTACTGTGCTTTCTTTTTCAGGCACATATTGGAATAATATTGTGCCTCGTGGTACTGCTTCTGCCACAAAGTGGGTTTTTGTATTGGCTTCCACAGCTCCAACTAAAGAAGGTTAGTCAATCTGCAGTATGGGTTTATATTTTAAGTAAATTGACTTTATGCGGTGGGATGGATATCTCAGATGAATCTAACAGATTGCATGAAGGTAAATTATTCCAGATTTGTTTCTGCCCATTTTGGTATGTGGGAATCCCAGATATTTGGAGCAGCTGGAAACTCCTTTGCATATTACTGAAGTTAAGCCATGATAGGCCTGCAATAGAATGGCCTTGAGAGAAAAGTGTATATATTGGTTTTTAAGCAGCCTTACTGACTGGTCCATTTAATAAACTTTTGTGGGGACTGTATGTCCATCAGTTGGAGTGGTACCAAGCAGCTCATGCTGAGAGGGGAAAAACAAAGTAACATAGTAGTCTGCAGTGCCTAAGGAGTAAAAGAGGCTGTCTGCAAAGATGGGGTTTTATTAGCAAAACTCAAGCTGAAGGTCCAAGAGATCCTGTATTAATCATTTTTTCTTTATTTCCTGTGCTGCCACAATAGACTAGAATACATTGTAGTGCCAGATGGTTTTCCAAAATGGACTGAGGTGCCTGAATGGATAAAGATGAGGGGGATTGTCATCTATATATTTGTTTATCAGTCCTTTGTAGTTAAGTAGACCTGTTCTTGTATCAGTTATGTTTTCTGATGCCAAATTCAATATTAAGATTCTAATATATTCCTCTTACTGCTGAAAGTGGGGACAGTTAGGTTCTACAGTGTCTCATTAATTGAAAAAAGTGCTTTTAGGATGGAAGGGGAGAGAGAGGGCAGTCTGGCCTGTCAAGTTGGTGGAGTAAATAAAGCTCTCTGGAAGGAGATTATTTTTTTTCATTGCAGAATGACATTTAAAAAAAAAGTTGGATGACATAAAAAAAAAATTAGTTTGTTTTTAAGCCTGGCATTTGAAAAAGGCTAGAAGTTTGTAAATTAAGGGAATATCCCTGTTTTGCAGAAGGGGAAATAGAGACAGGGGCAGCATTTCAGTGCATCTGTGTTAGACTTGGGAATAGAACTCATACCTCCTACTTCATCAAGCCCTCCTTTTCCCCTCCCATCCCTGTTGGAAATTAAAAGTCTTTTGGAGGGTGGGGGGAATAGTAGGTTATTTTATTTTCTCTAGATGTAAACTTCCCCTGCTTTCATCCATTTTAAGGTAACCTGTCCAAGGTACTGTTAGGCAGCGGGATGATGCTTGTTAAGAAAACACTGTAATATTTTCAAACTGCTTAAGGCTTTGTCTGCAGTGGTGATATGCTCCATTTCTAACCACTAGTGACCAACCTTGGGTAGACAAGGTAACTGTGACTTGCATTTTACCTCTCTTTGAAATCATGGTGAGCTGCCATGGTGTGTGTCGAGGCTGACATTGTCTATACTAGGCATTCGCACCAGTGGCTTGCATCTGGGCCAAACTCCAGTATAGGCAAAGCCTAAGCCAAAGTTCATGTTACCAGGTTTTTTAGAGAAAATAAATGATGGTAATGGGGAAATTTTCACACTGGGGCAAAGTCTAAGCTAAGAGAGCTATGCCAGCATGTTGTATCAGCACAGTATTTCTAGCATAATGGAGTGATACCAGCAAAATGGCTTTATGCCAGAATATGTGAATGTACAGGCATTTGCCTTCATAGAATATTGGTCAGAAATCTTGCTGCCTAGTGTTCCTGATCAAACATAGCCATGCTGGCAAAAATATGTAGTGTACATTGAACAAAGCAGGAATGGAATTTGAGGGAATGATTCCATTCAACAGAAGAGAACAGTACAGAAACCTCACACTGGTCAAACTCATCCTCAGATGTGTAACATTTTACCCCTCAGTAAAATCAGCCCATTTATTTGGGGTGCTTAAATATGGATGTAAGACCTTAAATCCAGGCTTATAGGTTAGAAAATCTTGCCCAAGAATGTGTTGCAAAACCCTGGTTTATTTTTAAATACAACAGGCCCTTAATGACCGAACACGACTCCTATGTAACCTTTCAGAGACTGGATTAGAAGCTATTTTAATAACATAAATATCCTTTCTATAGGAAGCTTTCTGTGGCTTTGCCAGAGCAACAAGGATCTGTTTTGTGTCAGTGATCAGAATCCTCAGTTCCATCCTTCTACGGTGCAGCTACCACCTGATGCTGAAACGATGTATTATTCTGCCTGCCAGGATGCCATATGGGGTTTGGATACTCTGGGACGTGTATTTATCAGAACACTATCACCAAGTTGTCCAACCGGGATGCATTGGACAAAACTGGACCTTGCTCAGCTAGGTATGGCTTTTGTTGATCTAACTTGTTTTTCAGCAGAGGAAAAAAATGTTCTTCTTCACTTTGGTTTTTGCTTTGTAAGTTCTGATTTAAAAATATAAGATTCCTTGGATTTGATACAACTTCAAACTGATTGCAGTCTCCTTATAATTTTGAAATTTTCAATGCCTCAGAAAATGCCAGGGCTTTAGAATAGAAGGCATGCTGCAGAGAGCCTTTTGTGAGGAGGCAGCATTAACTGTGGTGTCCCACAATGTTACATGTGAATGAGAGCCTTCAAAGTTCCTCTGTTGTCTTTGAGTAGGGCTGCACTATATAATGCAGTGCGGTGTCTACCTCAAAACAAGTTAGCTTGCCTGTCAGAAACAGGATAGTTGGGTAATGCAGTGTTCTGCTCGAGTTAATGAGTTTCTCAGGGTAAATTAATGTGGATGTAACACTGTGGCTATACTGCTTCTGGGAGCTCAGCTAACTTGGGTGCCTCTGCTCTGCCTATATTACGATGCAATGCTCTCTAGTCACTACTTAGGTGGGAGCCCTTCAAGGAAAACTGGGTATAGACAACAAATTGCAGCAAGCTAACAGGCAGGGACTTACCATGGAACAGTTGACATGCTGTAGTTGCACATCTGCTTGCCCTTATCTTGTAGTAAGTTGAAAACTAAGCTGCAGCTCCTTAGCCCTATTTCTGTCACAGGGCAGATGGACAGTTGCTGTGCATCAGCTGCTCTGCAGTAAGTCCCTGCCCCATTAATTCACTCCAGTTCAATAGTTTGTCCATACTCACTGTCTTGTCAAGTTCATACTTAACTAATGCCCCTGCATAGGCAAGGAAGTTGCTGAACTTGTATTTATCAAGCTGATGCCCACAACCAAACTCCTTGACCAGTTATGGCTATTAAGA